AATTAAATTATAAAAATGCAGTTGAAATGAAAAGCTACTGTTACAAGTGGGATACAGATCCATACAGCTTTCATATAGATGAATATATGATATATTTATCATATATTATATGATATGAAATATGTTATTATATGATATATGATATACATCAAAAGATATATATAATATCTTTTTAAGATACATATCTTGCTCTATAATTGAGCTAATGTGATATTCGGTCCCACGAGACACCAACTCCCCATCTCTACAATTTTTTTTTTCATTTCTCTTTTTCAGCCAATATTCAAAATCATGGACAGTGGTGGTTAGTTAGGGCTTCTGACTCTTGGGTTCAAATCCTGGCATAGCTCACGGAATTTTAATTGCTAGTAATATGGAAAAAGTTGTTTGATTACTCATTCGCAAGTTCCAATGGGTAGTTTGACTTTGTTTTATTTTTTTAATTTTTGCATCATATGAGTGTTCAAAAATCGACATAAGTAGCAGAGAACTTCAATGTATATGAACTATTACTTTATCATAAAATAATTGATATTTTAATCATTATTGTTAATTTTTATATTAAGCAAAGTTAAATAAGAAACTTATTTGATTTTTTTTTCTGTTCAGATTCATTTTAAATTCAAGACTAAATTGTATCAATTATTTCCTTCAGAAAATTAAATGTTTGGCCCTATTTACACAGCTCCTTTTAGCTTTGTCAGCTTGTGTGCTGTTTGCAATAGCAGCGGCCTTTTTTATTTACTGTTTTATCAAACAATGCAGTATTGAATTAGTTTTATTTGTCTTAGCAGCTTTTAATTTTCTAAATTCTTGTTAACATGAATACACAAGTTTTAAACTTTCTACCAAATTAAATCACTTAATTCAAAATTGCTGATAATGGGATTGCCATGACATCAATATGGTTTGGACAAAATAAGACAGTGTTTTTCTGGGAAAGTTTTGAATAAAAAGCAAATGTCCAAAATTTAAAAAAAGTAGTTTTAGAATTGTAGTGTCTAAAATATGCTTTTATAGTATTAAAACCTCAAAATTAATAAATATATTATTAAATTATTCAAATTCAGTAGTAGAATATCAGAATAATTCATCTGTAATGTTGAAGTGCATACTTGCTTGACAGTGCTAGACCGGCTTACGCTAAAACAACCTCACCAATACTGGCAAACTGCTAAAGTTAGAGAGGGCTAAACTCAGATTAGTGACAGGACTATACCGATCACCGGCACCTGAGAAAACATCTACAAATATGGGTATATTCAAAATGACCCCCTTTGTTGGTTATGGCATGAGGTGGAAGTAACAGTTACCTGTACATCTGCGATTGCAAAGCTAAGTTCAATGGAAATATAAAATATATAAATACAAAGAAAACCCAGGTAATGGAAATGTAGTAATGGCAGTCAATGATGTAGTATTTTTTTTTTTTTTGCCTCGTTATACATTAGCCAACGAACCGACCTTCAGGGCCGTGCATCCACCAATAGCCAGATGCCACCAACCCGGCCGCAGGGAATGACAGGGCTCTCCTCTCATATTTATGTGGTCTTTCCACAATAATTTACGGTCAATATTGAAGCCGAGAAATTTAACTGAGAGAAAGGACAAAGAAATGACTTTGGAGCCGATATTGATAAATTGTTGGTATTAATCCAGTGAGCAAATGTGGTCATTCCTTCGTCTAATGCCAGAATTCCTGCCTCTACATATTTGTGAACCGTATAGTGACAAATATCGTCAGCATATTGAATTACTTTAATTGAGGGTGGGATGGAAGTAGCCAAATCGTGCACTTAGACCAGAAATAATAAGGGGGTTAGAATTCCTCCTTGGGGGAGTCCCTGATATGTGGTGAAAGGACCAAATGAAGAATCATTTATTTTTATAACAATTTTTTTTACCCAAATTTTTTAAATATATTATTAATTACCACCGCAGGAATACCAATGCTGGACATTTTTTCTGCTAGGAGACCCAAATAAACAGTATCAAGGCTGCCGTGATGTCTACAAAACGGACCAAAAGTGTTTTCGATTCTGTAAACGCTTCATAAATATCACAGATTAAATTAGCCTGTGCGTTTTGCGCTGGGAGGCCTTTCTGAAACCCGTATTGAAACTTAGGGAGTATTTTGTTCCATTCTAACCACCACTGTAAACGATTTTTAATCAGTCTTTCATATATCTTTAAAACACATGAAGTAAGCGCTATGGGGCGGTAAGATGAAGCATTTGGGTCCTTGTTAGGCTTCAAAATTAATGTTATGAATGTGGTTTTCCATGATTCGGGGATAGGAATTTTGCTCTTCCAAATTTTGTTAAGTACATTCAAGAGATAATTTTTACATGTTGTGGACAGGTTGTTTTGTGGACACTATCTTGGGTTAACCATTTGAATTAAATTAATTAAAATATATAAATAAAAATAATTAATTAAAAATGAAGCGAAACATTTCACAACATGAAGGTGAGCCATCAGAGCGAGACAAGCATATTGTTCATACCTACACCGATTGCAGCATCAGTGTTTGGCTATCTTGTGTCTATGATGACTTTTATCTGAAGCATCCCACAAAATTCGATTGATTCGAAAGCTCTTATACAGTTGGATAGCGTTTACAAGGAGAGAAACAGACAACATGAAGCACTTTGATCGCACTAAAAAACCTCAGCTGGTTGGCTCACCTTGAAACATCCTTGCGCCAAAAGTTTCAGAGTCCCTGCTAGGTATCCACAACATTAGACAAGTTTAGAAGGATCGAGTTGATTACACTGAACTAAGAAACTAGGAAAGTACAAGCCAGAGGGCTGTAGTGCTCGGGAAACAAATAGCCCTGATTTCCTAGTATACATTTTTATCATTATCATCATAATTCATACTTGCATGTATCGGTTGTGTCCCAAAAATTTAAAAAAATCTTAGGATCACTTATGGCGATCCATTTCTTCTGTTGCTATATAAAAGATCTATTGAGGAATAAAATGCCCCTTTTTTTCCATACCCCAGAAAGAGCACTACCTTCAAGGGTTCACATTCTGGTATTCCCTTTCGCTAATTTTCCGATGTCTGGTGTTTTATGGCAGACTCGCCAGTTTCTATCTCATTCATTTTCCATATTATTTACCTTAAGTCCTGCCTGATGAGAAAGGTAGATTTTGTTTTCGTGGTTGAAATATTCATGAACTTCTTTTATTTATTTGCATCTTGTGAATTCATCCAGTGCGTGGTCATTTATTTCTTCCATTTGTTCTGTTCTGCTTTTAGCATGCATTAAAGTGTGCCAATTGTGTCCTAACAAAAATTCTTGCTTTTTACCTACTTTTTTCTTGCAAAATTGAATAATCATCCTTGTAAATTTGAATATTTAAAAACAAAATTTAAATACTTTATTTAGATTTTATACAATATACAGATAAATAGAAAAAAAGTACAATATGACATGGATAACAATCTGCCTGTCAGGAATTGAATTATTATTTTTATTTCATATCTAAAGAGTGTTCTGATGTTTGTAAAACTTTTTATTTGTATTTTGCGTGTGTTGTTATACATTTTTTGGATATGAAACAATTGTCATTGATGTATTTAAAATTTGTAGTTTGAAAAAAAAAAAAAACCCTTATAACCCCTCACCAAGTTGATATATACACTTATCTTATGATGATTCATCCTTTAGAAGGAATTTTAGCCGATCGGCCTGTTTGAACAGTTTTGCATAGATATCATGCGATATGTGCTATTTAATTATAATTAGAATTAGTATAACATTGCAAAATTAGATCAGGATGATTCATTAAATTATAAAACATTTAGTTTAGACAATTCTTCATTGGTTGAATGACCTGTTTTTAAAACAGGCACTTTGCATCCAATACGTGCAATTCTGTCATTTGAACAGTATTGCCAAAAAAAATTTAATTGACAATTGAAAATCTCAATTCCAATTTAATCTTCCATCCAAAATGCCTTCTTTGGTACTTTTTAATAGACAATTTTTGAAAAATGAATGATTGTGAAGTGATGGATTGGATAAAAGGACAAAAAGTGATTTCACAAATATTTGTAATTTCTAATAGGATAGATTATCAGTAAAAGAAGAGACTACAAGCATATTCACTTAGCGTTACGATTTTAGAGTCCTTTACTCTCAATAACAATAACCCAATTAGCATTTTTGCAACTCAGTCAGCATAGATAAAATGCCTTAAAGGTGTGAGTTGTATTAAATTAAGCAAACAACAGTTTCAGAAATATACATGTTCTATAAATCGTTTACATGTAAACCCTAAAATAATGTATATGATATTGATTTATCTTCAGAAAAATTATTTTCTGAATTGGTTTTAAGTGTATTTTAAACATTTAGAATGGTATAAAGTAAAATATAACATCAAACACTTCTAATCATAAAGCAATACAAATGCTTTTATATATAAATTACAATAAATATCTTAAATTATAAGATTAGGAAGGATTAATATTATATGAACAGAATTTTTTTTTTAAGAAAAACTTTTTGACCTGTTCTCCCATGCCATTTTGTTCTGAATTTATCATTTAATTGCATAATATATTACCAAAGTATGGAATTTAACATCATACATAATCTCAATGTTTTTCTTTGCAAGCTGTGACATTTCAGATATTCTTTTAAGCTGTGAGAACATTCCCATCTAAAGTGTTATTAAATACAATGAAATGCTCCTTATTGACCAGGTCAGTAGTTCAAACTCCCAACCCGTTTGATTGACTCATGATTCGCTTCGTGTTTTATGCATAGGCTACTTTATTCAAAAATAGAACCTGATTTATTAAATTTAATGAAAGACTTGTTGAAACCGTGCTATAAGACAGTTTAAGGAATATGGTCGTTAAACTGTCAGTGATTAATTAATATGAACTTCCTCTCCTACTTAATTAACAAGTACCAAATATAATCACAAAAGAGTCTGAAAATTTTAAAATTTTAATTCATGCGTATTTGGTTTTTTTTTCAGGCTCCAAGATGGTCATTTGTACTCTGTGCCCTTGGCCTGTTTGCTTACCAAAGTTTAGATGCGATAGATGGCAAACAGGCAAGAAGAACCGGGACTTCATCTCCACTGGGAGAGCTTTTTGACCATGGGTGCGATTCTGTATCAACAGGTATTGTATTTTAACAATAAATTAGAAATCAATATTAAAATGTTAAAAGGCACAACATTTAAATTAAAACCTCGAGAGGGTCCTCTGCATGATATGGACATACTGTATTCTCCAGAAGTATCACGAGTTTTGGAGTTGCTTGGGAGATTCTTCAGCAACCAGAAGTTTAGGGTAATACTGGGAATTAGGCTCTATGAAAGAAGAAAGCAGGAAAATGTGATTGGTACCCCGTTTGTGATTATGGTTAATGGTATCTTCAATGGTATTGAGCCCTTGATAAAGATCTCGTTCTACGACGAAGATGCCACTATCTACACGTACAATACCGATCTAGGAGAAGTTGGAACAAGAGTGCAGACTATTCAACAAAATGGTTGCCAATACTGAGTGAATAGGTTTTTGAAAGATGAGGTCATTTCCCTTCTGTATGAGAGGGATCCTCAGCTGCAGATGGGGACGAAGCTCTATTGTAGGATGCTCAAGATTCCCTGGCATAACTTTCGACGAGAAGCTAAGATGGCAACTACATGTTATGAATATTGGCCAGTGCAAGCAGGTCATCATCTTCTTGAGATGCCTGCCGTATTTCACAGAGGGGGGAGCAGAAAGAGGGAAATTGAGAAAACTGGGGTGATGAAGCTGTAGTTTGGTTTTTGTGATTATTTTGGTATGCCTATACTCACTGTATTTGTCTCTCATCACTGGTTTGTCTATGCAATTTCTTGTCCATGCCTGGAGGAATTCAAACTCACCACTAAGGATGGGGATTTGCTCACATTTTACAAAAACAGCGAGAGTAGGCGGACCAGGATGATCAAGAGTTGGCTTATATTCAATTTTTTGATTAAATATTCATTCTCTATTTACAATCTTATGAATTATGATGAAAGCATGTAAAACGTTTCATTTTTAATTTATCTGCCAAGGATCAATTTTTGCCGTCAATCATGATAAAGGAGGCTATGGAACATGTTAAAATGTTTGAAAATTAAAATGATCCGAAATGACCTGAATTTAGTAATAAAAATAAGTACAACAATAAATTAACAATGCATAAACTGTGAGAGGTTTCTTTTTATTCCATAAATAGAAAATTCTTCTGTAGACATAATTTTTTTTCTCTCACAGTTTTTCTCTTCTTTCGTCATTATTCTCATTCATGAAGCTCACAAACCTCCCAATTGTATAATTATCCTCTTACAGCAGTCTATCAGCCTTCTTCCTTCAAAGTTCAAAATCCTTTAAAGACTTATTTTAAAGCTGTTGATATCCATAAAATCATTCCTTCTCATCAATTCGATTTCCATCCTCATCATTTGACGATGCAACAAGGTTTCAGAGTTATTGACACCATCGCTTGTGCTGTAGAGAATAAAAAGTGTTGCTTGGGTATGTCCCTAGATGTAGCACAGGCTTTTGGTAGGGTCTATCTATTGAGCATGTTTTATAAACTTAAACACTTCCTACCCACTCCTTATTACCTTATCCTGATATCCTACCCAACTGCTGACCACTGAGGCAACAAGTTCTTGGAAGTCAGGCAGCTAAGCAGGCCTCCCGCAAGGGAGCATTCTTTGTCCCATCCTTTAATCATTTATACTGCTGGCCTAACAATACACCCTAGTACTCATCACCTCTTACACGGATGATACTGCAATTTTATCCTCTAACTCAAATCCTATCCAAGTTACCAACATCCATGCACACCTTGGGTTTACCGAAGACTGGTGCAAAAAGTGGAGGACAAGCCTGAATGAATAAAAAGTTCTCAGTGTTCACATTGAAAAACATTCTTGCCCTCCACTGTAAATCAACAACAAAGAGATAACAACTTCCATCTGAGTCAAAAGAGACACCCAAGACTTAAGAGACAACTGTAAAGACCAAAACCACCTTGACCGTCAAAACTAAACTAACCTTATACAAGACTTTACTATGACCACTTTGGACATATGTAGTCGAACTGTGGGGTTCTGCCAAGTCATCAAGTGCATCCAATCCTTCCAATGAAAAGAACTCAGTTAACTTTCTTGCTGCGGCACTAACCTCCCTATCGAAGATTTCAACATTCCTTCAACGAACTAATCCGTTCCTGATTCCAAACATTTCACATGAACATCTCATCTAATTCTATCCCTACTGCTCAAGCCCTCTCTATACTTTCCCATCCTCCCATCCTGAGAACCCATCACATTGCCTTAATGGCCTCGAGACTTTGCTCTTTAATCCCTTACACTGAGTTCCAGCATTGGCTGGTTTCTCATGGCACGTGTCATCCGGGTGGAGCACTAATTAGTATTAGTGCTGTGACTGTGGACAAAAGTTTACTGATCACATTTGCAATATGTACTAATGTGATATTACTATAGGGAACAAATTAAATAATAATAATAATATAAAAAAATCTGAATAGTAAATAGTGCAAGGAAACCTTTTTATTTTAGTATTTGTGGCCATCTCAGCGTGCATAGCGGTACAGCTCGGCGCTTATCCCTCTTGGATGTTTTTCCAGTGTTTTTGTGCTATAACACTATTTTATTGTGCACACTGGCAAGCATACGTCTCAGGTAAATATTCATTTTTTTTTTCAGTCTACGATATGTTCTCGATTATTAGCTTTTAAGTTTATGTTTTCCAGGGACGTTACGTTTTGGAAGAGTCGACGTAACAGAAGCACAGTTCACCATAATGGCCATCCATATGATTTCTGCATTTTTCGGACCCAACATTTGGTCCACGCAGGTATTTTATTTATTATATATAGAAATTATTTAATCAACACAAATTAAATTATTACATACAAATCATTAATCGTCACTATATAGTTTTTCTTTTTTGTTTGTTTAATACATTTTGATTTACAGATGCCATCATTACATATAATTGAATTACGTCATTCAATTCTGGCAATGACAGTTTTATGTGGTTCAGTAGCTCTTTATGACCTTTTCATAGTTATATGTAATGGAGGTGTGGGCAGGAATGGTTCAACGGTTGCTGTAAGTTGCAGAGAGAGTATGGCCAATCGAAACCGACTAATACTGTAGGGTTTTGGTGTTGTTCGAATGTTCAAATTAAACAGAGGAATTTCATATTGAAAACTAAACCATTTGGGATGTTCGCTACTAACATGATCACAGTTTTTGGAATGTCATATATATTACACTTTAGAACGTTTGGGTTGGCTACAGTCTCCAGGTCTGGTTCTGCAACGGCATTCTTCCTTCCACATCACCCTAGTTCAGGTTCTAATTTCTAATGAAAATAACACTGAATGGTATTGTCTGTAGATGCCTTTTATCAACATGCCCCTCAATCATGGAATGGCCACCGTGTTTATGACTGCGTTCTTTCGAGTTTTCCTTGACTTTTGTCCAATACTTTGGACGGGTGGAGCGGGCAAGAATGGTTCCACTGTAGCTGTAAGTCAATTAGAAAAGCCAGAAAGAGAAACAGAGATGCAACAAATACCTAATGCAATCTATTTAAAAAAAAGAAAATAGTTTTGCACATGTTGATGTGTTTGGTGTTTCTCTTTTTTTGGCATGGTGCACACAAAAAACAAACATACACATACACAATTTCAGTAGTTCAGAACCAGCTATTTCCTTGTTTTAATAATTTTTGTTTAGCATGAAACAGTGTTGATATTGTGTCTGTTTAAATGTTGTATACTTGTTGTTCTAAGGGAGAATGATATTTGTTTAGCATGTGTGTTCCAGTATTTATTAAATTTAAGACATTTATTCCATATTTTTTTTTTTTTTTTGTTCATCACAATTCATTTCGTTCCGTCATCAGTTACAGGATATAATCAAAGATAATTTTGATGTTTCTCATTAATAACAATAAAAGTTATAATGATATAAAAATAAATAAAAAACATTGACTAATAACAAATAATGATTTTAAATTTTTTCCTACAATTTTATCAAATATATTATATAATGTATTATATAATACTGTTTATTTATTTTTTCAATACAAAATGAAAATTGAGAAAAGCAAAACAACAAAAATGTTTAACCACCTATTTAAACAAACATATAAAATATATACATTTTTGTAATTGCAAAATTAACCGTTGACAAGCTGTCAGTAATTATATTTGCAGTGTTTAGACATGGTCTTGAATGTTTTTTTCCTATCCTAAATTTATTACCATTCTGGCAAGTATAATTTTGCAAAAGCTGGTTTTATAGTGTCTTAATTTTATTTTATCACAAGTGCACAGATCACACTCGACTCTGCGATTATGCTTTTTGATGAATTGTAACCAAAGCAGTCTAGGAATAGAGAAATATGAATGAAGAGAATATGATATGTTGGGGAAATTGTTTATTTTAAGTATATTTGTATGGATTTACAGTCAAATTTCTTAAAAAAAAAAAAAAAATCATTATCAGTTGGCATAAACAATTGATTTTGTTTAATTTATGATTTTTTATTGGATAAACATGGTTCATCTGATTAAAATAGGCAAATGTCATCAGTCTTACTTTTTAAAATTGATTTTACATTCAATTTATGTGATAGTTGTTAGCCTGCTTAGCTAATACGCAAGGAATCAAGTTGTCTTAGCACTGTCTTTTTATTTTCGTAGGGTCAATTTGGAACAGGGCTTTTTTTGTATTTGTCTGCTGTCTTTTCTTTCCCTTTGTGTAAAAGTTTTATTGTTTTTTGTCTCAAAGGCATTTCCTACCAGTCATATATTTTTTAATTTACCTTATCCTGGATAAATTTAACTGTACAACACTGTTGAACCGTTAAAGTTTAAACCCACAAATTATTAATGTGTGTAATTGTACCTTTATTTCATCCTGTTTTTTTGTTTTTGTTCTTGTGGTTCACTTTACGTCTCTGGTGGGAAAATAAATAATTAGATCCCTTGGATAAACCTCAAAATGAAACATGTGCAAGTGCTGATCGGGACGGTGGTCGGCATTTACATGTTCCACAGGACAGCGTCAGTTGTCCTGACTGGCGGCATAGGCAAAAACGGATCCTCGGTTGCTGTGAGTTGAAAATAAAACGTCGTTTCGCATGCTTCCATTAATTTAACTTGTAAGATTGTAAATAGAGACTGAATATGAAAAAAAAAAAATGTTTATACGCCTACCCCTTTGTAGATAAAAGTACACAATAGAAATTTAGCTGTTTACTTTTTATCAAATCAAAGCATGTAATTTTTTTCTCTCTTGGCATTTGGGAATTTTAACCAAATTCAAAGCATTTGGCATAATATGCTCTCAAATTTTTCCTTAGGTATATGTCGAATGCTTATTATAACGCTTGAACTTACTCGAAAATTATAATTTATCAAACAAAATAATTTGCAGTTTGGTCAGTTTTCAGTCATCCTGGCCCACCAAACCTTGTTGTTTTTGTCATGCATTTTGGCTTCTCACCATCTTCATTGTCAATTTTCAGTCTATTCAGGGAGACAAAACTGAAGAAAAGGATGAGTGAGAAAATGCAATATCTGACAATACAATGAGCACGGGCAGGCCAGGTCGATCAAAAATGGCCAAACTGCGTGACCAGACCTCAAGAAGAAAATTTAAAAATTAAAAAAAAAATAAGTAAAACTTTGGTGTGATAATATCTACATAGTTTCCTGAATATAGTTTTATTATCAAATATTGTGTGATTTACATTCACCCCAGGAATTAGATTAATTTGGCTTTTTTTTAAAATATCAATCAAATTGATGATAAGGATATTAAAAAAAGTTTTCATTTGTTTAAATTATAATTTATCACTGATATACATTTATTTTGTTATTTTTTAGCGTTTGGTTTTTATTAAAATATTCTAAATTTTAGCATGCTGTAAATCATTAATGCTCGGCTGTCAGCATGTTTGATTAGTATAATTTCCCCCTCAAATTAAGCTAATATTTCCATCTCTTTTTTGAATTTCCATCATAACGTGTTCTATTAGATTTTCTACTTTTAAACATATTGGCTTAAAGGCAGAACGCTATTGTGTACTTTTATTACGTATGTCTCAAGCAGGCTGCTTTTAATTTAAATATGCCTTACCTCGAGAATATATTGCATAACAGAATGGACATTGACGCTCATCATTATAGGAAAAGCAATATCCTGATTGATTAAATTTTAAATTAAAATGTGTTTTCTAGAACGTATATCTCATCTTTTAAAGAATTTATTAAAATTGATAATTTTAATTTGTATTCATTTTGTTATTTTACAAGTCTCTCGAACTTTGACATTGTATTAATGCAATATATTCCTGTGTGAATATTTTTCTCAAGGCTGCTCCATATAAAATGCTTAGTTGTTCTTTTCTCGTAATAAAACTAAAAATGGCTAGAAGGTGTGCCTCAAGCATTTAACAAGGAGTAAAACCAATAATAGCAAACATATCAATTAATGTTTTATCCAGGTTGTAAATTGATAATCCATTTAAAGACTATTGTAAAACTGTCAACTTTTAAATACATTATATATACACTCAGCCAAAAAAAAGTTTCCAAACTTCAATGAAATAGAAGCAAACCTTTTAAATTAAAATTATAATGGGCTAAATTGATTAACTACACAATGCGTTGCAACTGTAAACTTTAATCAATAACAAAATTCACATAACGTGTACTTCAATACATAGAAATTAAATAAAATATATATAATTATACGTTTCAAGCAAAAAAAGTCTCCGAACACATTATTTTTCATTTGTTTATTTATTGACATTTATATAAATTTCATTTCAGTAATCTGTAGGTCCTCCCCAACTTTTTATCACTGCCTAATATACAGTTTTTCATTGATAGAACTAGTTTTTTTTGTCATGTCAGGGGATGTATTAGTTCTCTTCTGAAAAATCTCTGCTTTTAGATAGTTTTTTTAATCTTCTTATTTGGGGACCGCGGTAGCCGAGTGGTTAGCATGAGAGACTGTCATGCCGCGGTCGTGGGTTCGATTCCCACCGTCGCCTCTGGCCCTTTTTTCCCGATAACCCCCAATTTGAACACACAAGAATTCGTACCATGGCTAATATGCAAGATCATAAGGCCAATAAAAAAAAAAAATCTTATTTTAAAAGTTTACTATTAAATTATATAGAAGCCACGAGTTTTCTAAGTCTTTTGGGGTCATTGCCTTAATGGAAATAGAAAGTCCTTTTTATACCCAATGTAATAGTACTTTGCTTTAAATTCTGTTTTAGAACATCGATGTATTGGTCCACGATCCTATCGATTATAGGTAAATTGCCGATACCAAACAAACACATAAGCAATGAAGCATATTCATTAATTTCAAGTGTTCCCGTGGATTACACCACACTTTCTTTCTTTTATCTGACCTTGAGACATTAAATTTGCTCTTTTCAGTGAAAATAACAGTCTCCCAAAATGCACAGGCTTACTTAAATGCTCTTCAGAAAATATGGGCACTTTCCCTGTTTTTCTTCCTTCTTTCTGAGATTGTGTCCTTACACGCCTTGATTTTTAATAGTTTTTTGTACTGTTTGGTGCATAACATATAATCTTGATACAGAATACCTGCAATTTCAGGATCGATTGATAGGTTAGCGATCGATTCTTTGAGAACAGCACCCTTTTGTTTAATTTTTCTGACTGGGTTAAACACGTCTGTTTTCAGCATTACCAAGCTCCTTATATGGGGAAATGATGTTAGACTTAATTTCATGAGATTGTTTTAATGAAAAATTAATTTTTTTTGTTTTTAAAGGAAAAAATTATAAATAAAAGGCAGCCTATGTGATCACACAAGTTACTCACAATATTTTTTTTAAATTAGATTACTTTTTTAAAATTATAATCTTCGAATATAAAATTAGAAAAAGAAAACCCGTTTATCTTTAAAATATTATAAAAAAATAAATTAAAATCTAATAAAGAATCACACTGATGACAGTGAACATTGGAAAACAAAAGTGCCTCTAGGTGTTCAGAAACTTTTTTTGGCTCTCGATTAGCATATTAAAAGTAATTATGAAAACAAATAACCTTTAAATTATATCATTTAGATTTGATTCAAAAGCCTTTAAATAATATATTCAGATTTACAAAATAATGTTTTCATATCCAATGATGAAGAAGAAATTTAGAGCTCATATTTTGGGTAAACTAGTAAGTGTTTAGAGACTTTTTTTATTGAGTGTACATAATAATGCATAAAATATTAATGTATGTAGAGAGACATTACACTTAAAGTAAAATATGAAATTAAGCCATAACTGGAGTAACCTTTAGAAAAATAAGGCAGTTCCATATTTTGCCAAACCCCAAGCCGTAATTATTAGGGCCATAATTAATCATAGTCAAATCATTTTGCCTTGAATCCCTTTTGAATGAAACTTTTTAAAGTAAATCAGCTAAGTCTACAGTTTTCGAACCTTCTGGAAATTACACTCTACATTACTATTTCTTATCCTTTGGATGTTCTAGAGGTGGTGCGTTTAATGCTTTTAGTTAATAAGTGATGAATCATCATTCGATACCGGTGAGATGGATTTCAATGATTTTCACATACTGTAGTGTAGCACAATGTTGTCTTTTAATTTGTACCTTTTGGCCATGCTTATGTTACCTACATTAAACATGACATTAACTGTAAATTGGTATTGTTGCTTACAGTAGCTTACTATTAATTTAGATGTGCATGCTTTAGAAGTTTTGTAAATTCACAAAGTAATTTAGTTGTAGTTTGGACCTTAAAAACCTCAATTTTTAAATTTTTGATATTTTTTTTTTGTAAACTAAAAAGTTGTATTTCTTATTTAGGGGACAAGTGTGCTCTCTCCTGTTATTCCGCTGAGCTTGGTAGTGATACCAGCATTTATAATATGCCAAAAAAGTGCAGACCGCGTTTACGAGGACAATCCCGTCCTTTATATATTCGCCTTTGGTCTTGTAGCTGCCAAAGTCACGAACAGGCTTGTGGTGAGTATCCATCGGTTTATATTTCGTATAAAAATATTTTAATGATTTTTTTGTTGTTGAATTAGGTGGCTCATATGACGAGGAATGAAATGGACTATTTAGATTCTTCACTCGTAGGTCCTGCGATGTTATTCTTAAATCAGTATTTCAATTTTTTCATCAGCGAATACATCGTTCTCTGGTTCTGTTTAGTAAGTGGTTTACATAAAAAAAAAAAAAAAAAAAAATTCATACAAAATTTATTAACAATTTCTATTTCGACAGGTCTGGGTCTGTTTTGACCTGTTGAGGTATTCGAGACAAGTGTGCTTAGAAATCTGCGACCACATGCATATCCAGCTGTTCAGAATAGTACCCAACCAGAATCCTGCCCAGCAGATAGCCAACAAAAACGGTACGACTCAAGTTTCAAATTACAGACAGACCAGATCCCGAAAACATTATCACTAATCACAGTAAAGTAGCATGGGAAAAGTCAATATTGAATAGGTGGATAAAATAAAAAATTGCTACAACAACAGTGTGTAAATATCGAATTAGTTTTTTTTTTTTTTTTTTTTTGCCTTAACTTTTAACAGCTCTCCCATGCTGCTTTCCTAAACTTAGTCCTTGAGAAAGAGCATGAACCTTAGGCTTTTCATTTGACCCCTTTGAATCTTCCTGCTTTATTTCATATGGAAAAAAATTATCCCTTTTGTTCAACAAATTCAATATAAAGTAGGTTTCTGGGCTGAATCTTTTTATTTGCAAGATATAACAACTTAGCTTGTATTCAAATTGACTAGAGTTTTGTTTCTTTAACTATTAACATTGAATATTTTAATTTATAATATTTAAGAAAAATATTTCCTTAAAACAATTTGAATTACACTGAAAGTTACGTTGTTATTTTCTCTCATTAAAACTTTTTTCACTTCTACTTCCAATGCTGCTATTTTTCTTTATTAGTGTACATATTTAACAATAAAAAAAGTCCTTTTATTTTTTAAAGGCGATAAATGAACAAATTGTATTTTTAAAACTATTTGTAACAAGTTGTATAAAGGTATTTTAATTAAGTATTAAGCTATTAAATTTATATTTCCTCTTTTAGTCTAGTAGCCATATTTATTATAACAAATAGAAATTGTTACCGTTCCTAAATGTCAAGTCACTAAGTGTAGAGGCATGTGCAGATATGGTACAAAGTCTTTAGATGTGAAAAAGTCAATTTGTCATATACGGATTTTTTTAAGTAACAAAATTTGTTAACAAAGTGAATTGTTGAAATATATATTAAAAAACTATTAGTTGTGTAGGGTGTATTGTAAGTCACAATTTTTGTTATGATATCTAGGTAACTTTCATTTACTTAAAAAGAAGAGTTTATTTAATTTTTTAAATTTTTTTTTATAGGAGTTTACAACGTTAAAAATCATATTGTCAAATATCCCTCATTTAACAATGCTAATTTTTTTACAATTTAAATGCAAACAATGGAGTGTTCTTTCTGGATTTTTCTTGGTGTTTCATTTGTGCCAAATGATTTTCATTTTAATAGAACTTAGAATAAAAGACAGTTCTAATTTTGGTTTATATAATAAGTGATTATATTTTTCATTTATAGTTTCAATTTTGAGAGTCTTGGGAATTAGATTTACAACATATTATACAATTATGTATTTTTTTCCTTCTAAATTATACCCACAGAATTTTGTTTTTTTATTGTTTAAGTGGAATGGTGATTGAAAAAACTGTGTTATTAGAAAATAAGACATTAAGTATTATGTAAGTGTTCTTAAATTATTAATATGGTAAGAATGATGACAACATGCTGTGAACAGTAAGCAGAACACGATAAAGGATGAAAATATTTATTCATACACCAAATGTATTGTTAATTGTATCAAATAAAATAAAAAAGCCAGAGTATGGACATTCTTAACAGTGTATTTAAAAATGAAATATTCGAATTGTTAACAAGAAAAAGAAGAAGAAAAAATTCACTATTTAACATCCGGCCAAATCTTGTCTTCTATGAAATTTAAGAAGGTTAAAATTCAAGTGAATTTGATTTAATATATGATTATTTTTGTTTTCTTCATAGCCAGAGAGAAAAATTGAATATAAAATAGATTGTATTGCCTTTTAATAATACATAAATATTTTCCCATTGTACTCTTATTTTGGGCGAACCTCTTATTTGTGAAAAAAATAGTTGAAGCGTGGGTCAGAAGCCTGAGAGAGAGGAGAAAGCAGAATATGAAGGTGATCAACTGAAACTACTTTAAATAAATTTAAAGTTTATTAGAGGACTTAACAGGTGTTGGCATTGAAAGAAGATAAGAATTTCTTCTTTTAACAAACCCACAACTGTTAAGATCCAATATTTTATAATTAATGTAATAGTAATTTTTGTTGAAATCTGTTTACTGCCAATTAGCACGATGCTTAAAGCATGACTTAAAGCACTTGCTTAATATTAATTGTATGTGTTCATTTCTAATTCTTTTCTTTTATGAATTTTAACCATATCGCTTGTTCTTTTCATTTCTGTCTTTTAGAAAAATGAACACCATTGATATCACAAAATAATATTTTGTATTTATCAAAATTGAAATTCTAGCTAACTAGAGGTGGCAATGGGAACGCAAATTCTATGATACTTTCTTTTTTGGTGATACTAGATCAAAAAATATTAGACGTATGTCCGAGTATTTTTGCCTTGGAGTCTAGGAACCTAGGTAAAAAAGATTATTTAAATAATTTTAAAAAATATGTTTTTCTGCCTTTATTGTAACTGAATTCAAAGGGTTGAATTTTGTAATAAGCAGGATTATATTATATGAGATGAAATTATAAAAAACAAAACACTTCCAGTAAAATAGTGGCCAAAAAATTATTTTTACAAAAAATAATGCAGTTTCGTTTTGAAGTACTCTTTTTGAAACCCTTAAATAAGATTTTTTTAACAAAAAAAAAAAAAAAACCATTTCAAATATGAATTAACGTTCAGAATGGCCATTATTCTGGTACGATGTACTAAATCCTTTCAAAACGATCTTTTGGCAGTTTTTAAAGATTTTTAAAGAAAAAAAAATTTTTGAATAAAATTTTTTGTCATATCTCGGGAGTGTCTTTACAAATTAATGCTGTAGCAAACGTGTTAGTCAGTCTAGCCTGGGGATTTTTTTTCCTCCGATTCCCAGTGTTGCACTTAAAAATTCATAACTCCTCAGGATTACTCCAAATTCAGCATTATTACAACCGTTAGAAAGCTTGATTTCTGTTCTTTTTTAATATGCAACAAGGTGTTTTATGCTAAATCAGTTAAATAAAATTGAAATCAACAAACACTCCTCAGACATTTTATTTTTTATCTCAGGTTCTAATTTATTAACAGAGTGGTGGAGTCATTTCAAACTTATCACCATTTTTGTGATTTGACAAGAATCAATCCTTCACAGGAAGGCCAACAATTTTGATTAAGAACTTTAATGTTTTGATTATCCAAAAATATTGTATGATGATAAAAGAATATTAACTTGGTTTCTTGTAAAAAAACCTTTGTAGGTTAGTTTTTCTTATTTGTAGATTTTTAATTATTTTGTTAAATCTCTTAATTAATACGTCAAAAATGTATTTTGGGTGTGTCGGTGAACACAACGGTTAAAGTGTTGACAATGTGCTCATCACCAGGTAAAGAAACAAAACAAAAATTAATAACCAACCTTAATATACAAGCAGAACAAAGGCAGATAAATATATTTTAAAAAATTGCTATATATATTTTTTTTAAATATTTTTTACCAAATTGGCAAGAACTTTTGAATATTTGTTTAATAATTTTCAACCTAGTATCACCGAAAGAAGTTTAATTAAAATCAGTTATCCCATGTATGCAGACTACCCTTGTAGGACGGAATACTAATATTAAATATGAGATTGTTTTTTTAATTTCTAGAAAATAATATCAAAAAGTTGTTAATTTTTTATTTGGGAAATATTCAATATAAATTAAACCTTGAACCAGCCACGAATCATCCATCAGGACTTGATATTTAATTAAAAATGGATACATTTTATAAATGATTTATACCTTGTGCACTGAAATATTGCCCATTCATAAGTTCTCAAATGTATTACTCTTAATCCACTTTAATATTTTATTTAAGGTTAATGTTAGTTGTTAAATGTGTAATCATTTTTTTAGTTGACTTTCAAAACTGCTCATGACATGTGCTTTTAATTGAACATTTATTTTGGTTTATGCATGGTTACAAATAGAAACAATACTGCTATTTTGCCTGCTTGAATATTAGTTCTTTTTTTTTAAATTTTTTTTTTTAGCTTACACAATTTTAAAGGCGTTAGTACTTCACTGTTAGAAAATGGCTGAAGATTGCTTGTTTTGTATATGTTCCCCCTTAAATAATAATTTTTAAAAGTATTCATATATTTCAATGGAAAAAAAAAGTTGTTTTAAAATCAACAGTAAACTTTTTTTATTGGGAAATGGCATTATTCTTTTAAAATTATCTTTACATAAAATAACCAATACAGAAAGAATCACTTTTTGGATGGTATATACAAACTAGGTACAGTTTTATTTGACAAAGATAATTTTTCAGGACTTTAGTTAACTTTAATGTTTCAACTAGGAAAAAATAGTAAAAAAAGTAGACTTCAGCATGCAATTTTAATTGTGTGTCGGGGTTGTGATTATTTGTCTTGTCATTATTGCGGATGTGAATGTGTGAGAAAGACAGAGACGTTACATTGATTTATTGAGGAGATAACATCTAAATATAACAAAATCATGTCATTATATTAGGAATGTCTTTTTATGACTGCCTAGGAACGTAAAAAGTATAATCTTGATTTCTTTTTTCTTATCATGTTTAAGAGAGAGTTCTTATTACGTTTTACTGTCACTAGTTTGATCAAATGCTTGGTCATTCACAAATCTTCCTTCGCCAGTGATAAACTAATAAAAGTAAAGAAATCCTTTCAAGTTACCTTTTGGTTATAAATTGTTATAATTTTTAAGTTTTGTCATACCTTAAGCAACAATATTATATAAATTGAAGATTTTTAGCAAGTAGAAAAAATAAAATGGTCAATAGTGTTATGTTACAGTGAGAATTCTTTCTTAATTTTCTTTTATTATTATCAAAGTATTTTTGTTTGGTATTTTTATTACTTCTGATCATGGCAATCGATTGTTGAACAAAGGGATTGGCTCTTGCGTTTCCTATGTATTTTTCCTTGTAGAAAGCTAACCAGTTTCTTTCATATTGTATTGTTACATTGGATCTATTTTTAAACGGAGCTTTTCTGGGTCTGTATCTTGTTTGTGTACATTAAGTACTGGCTCTTGGTGAATATGTTCATATTAACTAGCATGTAATCAATTTCACGTTTAACATTGTAGTAATAATTATCGCCTTTCATATCATAAAGCAATGTTTAATGTTGGACACAATTTTCCTTTTTCTAACAATAATCCTCTTTATTTGATCCTATCCCGTACCATTTTGATGTCTTGTTATCATTTATTTTATTGTCTTTTTAAAACAGACTTAATTGATTGTGAATTAGTGAACAGTGGGAATAGTCTGAATGTGTTTTGCAGTTAATCTGGCTATAAAAGACGAAGCATTTAACTTGACCGAAGAAGGACCGTTGCTACACACAGACTCAGATGATGAATTCATTGTTTATGACGCATCTGTCGCATAACTACCAAATTTTATTTGAATTTTATATATTGTTGGGGAGTAATTTGTACAGAATAATGTTTTGAATGGAATAAGTAACATTTAGAGCATGTTTTATAGTACTCTGATGTATTTTGTTTTATTATTATTATTCTAGCTTGCTCTATTTTATAATGGCTGCATTCATTAAAAAATGAAAAAAATATACTTAAAAAAATATATATAAGAAAATAAGTGGTACTGAATTTTCTGTGATATGAACAGTTGTATTTTTTCAAATGTGTTCTTGTACAGTAGTTGTAATTTTATTACTTCTAATAATTAAATATGGTGGAAAATAAAAAGTATGTGGATTATATCACTACACTGTTTTTATCCATTGATTTTCTTTATATCTTATGTAGTTTAGTTGATAATTTTATTGTAGAAGCCTTGCTCTTTGTTTTGATTTTGTGTGGTTTGCTGACGATTTTGTTTCTAGGAGGAAAAGTGATACCTGGCTGGGATAAAAGGCTGACTGGTTTGAGGCAATCGCCACTAACTACTAGTCGGAGTACTGAAAGCCTCATAAGCCTCAAAACGCAATATTAATGCTTACCGAGCTAATCCAAACATTGTTATCCTCTTTGACAATAAATTATTTAATTTGTTTTTATTATGTTTTTTGTTGTTGTTTCTTTCTGATTTCAAACTACTAATTCACTGAGACGCGGTGAAAAATTCAATTGAGCTAAGCTTCATTACACATTTCTTCACAAGATTTTGTTTTGCTCTATTAACGAATGTAATAACATTTAATTTGGGCTTTAACTAACTAAACTCTACCAAATGCTTGCCTACAATGGAGAAAAATATGAGGGTTAACTAAAAAACAAATTACAATCAATATAAGAAATTTTAAAATATTTATTATTTGGAAAATATCAAAAAATAGATCTTCAATTGGTTTTACTGTGCATTTTTAACATTGAGAATGGAAATAGGAATAAATGGGTGTTTTGGGTTTTAATGTATGATTTTTTAAAATACAGTCAAATTATTAATTCGAAACTTTGTAATTTAAATTACTTATGTTGTTTTTAATATGAACTTCTCAACAGGTCAATTTGGTAAACTGAAAAAATTCTGTGTATTTTGATACACTCGGTAAGAAAATGTGTTTTGTAACAAAGGGAAAGAGAGAGCATTCTATAAATCAAAATGGAGCCACTTTGGATCTACCTTTTTTTTTCTTTGTGATTCCTCTAAATTTCCATGTATTGTTTCTGCCTAAAGTTTCTTTGAGTTTTCTCTAGTTTGTTGTCAGTGTGTCAATGTGTTCTGATCACTGGTCATTTTGAAAAATAATTTATACAAAGCATACCAGGCCAAATTGAAACAAAAACCGCTTTATGAATTTTTTTAAATGATGCAAAACAATGTTCAATTTTACAGTTGACCTATTCCTACTTTTTCATTATTATTACTTATTGTTGTTGTTTTTATATATATGCAATGTAGTAAGAAGACAATAATTTTTATTTTATTTCCTCTTGATAATTCAAATTAGTTCACTAGGGTTTCGAATTATGAAGTTGACTGTATTTGTTTTGTTTTTAATTTTTTTTTTTTTTTAACATTCTGCATTGAATTTCAGATTTAAGAGTATTATTGCAACCATTGTCTTCCTCAATATGGGACAAAAGCTTGGGACCCCCTTACACGACTCAAAAGAATCAAACTGATACAATTATGCTTGATACAAATCACAAGACTTGACAACAGAACGAAACTTTCAATTCAAAACAAACACCTCATTACTACATAGTTTTTGATTTGGACATAAGGAATCGAACTGTGATTTTCAACTAACAAGGGGCTGACCAGGTTGGTGAATCACCGGAATTAAAATTATTAAATAATTAAAATGATTAAATATTAATAATTATTAACATATTAATTCTGTAAGCAAAGGACAGAAATGTTGAAAACTTGGGTTTGACCTCATTGTCGTGATTTTAGCATTATAAAACACTTTTGTGGAAATTGGTGTAAATTAATTTTTTGACTGATAATTTCGACGGCCTGACTGACTCACATTCCTGGCGGAAGCTCTAACACTATTTTTCTAAAAAGCTAGTGGACCAATTTTCATGGTGGATAATTAATTTTTAAAAAAATTGTCAAGTTCATATTATAACTGCATCAGACATTAAATCAGACTATTATTTCCTTTATAAAAAAAGGTTAATTTTTGATGAATAATTATGTGATTTTGTGTATTTTCTTATAAAAATATGTTATATATTTTAATGGTCTGTCTGACATTAAAATCCTTTTAGCTGTTTTTGAATGATTGAATTTGAATTTTGAATTTAAGTTCAAACAAAAATTTATATTTAGGTGTCTCTAGAGATGCAAAACGAAATTTCATATTAGTATATATATAAAAAAGTTATGACCTAGTTTACTTGAAAAATATTTGGTTTTTAGAAATTTATGGTTATTGAAAAATTTTGATAGCTTTTTAGTATATTTTTATTGCAGTCTACATAAAAAATGCTGTAAAATGATAATTTCACATAGTTGATTTGAGCATGTACAAAGGCGAAATAAAATATTAAAAAAAAGAAAAAAGGTTTCGGTGAGACCAGGGCCTATTTACAAGAAGTGGCAGATATGTGTCCGATATTTTGGAGTGTAGAATCGCCAAAAAAAGTTAGGTCCAAATCCATGATCCACCAACCTTGTCCTCTGCGTTCCAATCTTCAAAGAATTCAGTCACTCTAATCCAAAATCACTGCCCAAGCCATTTCTTATCCAATCTTACTATTATCCTAAAAGAACTTCAAATCCCATTTGTCCTCGAAGAAGTTGATACTACCCTAGACCCTCATCCTGACCCCCTAGTTCAACACCTTTCATCCTGAACCCTTCCTGAAAATCCTCTAGAATGTTTAACACGTCAATGGCTGCACAATTTCCTTCCTGGTGAGAAAAGTGAAGTGTTGTGTTAAAAGTTTAAATTAATGGATCACATTAAATTTATAAATAAAAGTATTATTTATTAGAATTTTTATTAATTTTTAATTTTAATTTAATTTTTATTATTTATTATAAATTATAATCATACAAGGTCATATTAATATACATCATATTTGCCAATATTGTCTAGAACTCTTTATTTTTTCAGTCAGGTGGAAAAATGTTGATGGAAGAACCACTTAAATTTTTTTTTCACTCTTTAGACAAATTTTACTGATACAAAGTTTACAATTGAACAAGATTTTTCATAGATCTGGATATATTAAACAATATGAAATTCTTTCAGGGTACAAAGTCCACAGTTGGGTGAAAAATCAATAGAAGGAAAACCTAGCCATCGTAAGCTTCTCTGAGGGAAAAAAATTAAAATAATTTTCCTATTTGAGATGCACCCTTATCATTCTCTTGGATGAAATACATGATAACTACCAATCTAAAAAAATCAATGGTTATAGTTTTCGTTGAGTATCTGTTGTAAATGGTCAAATGGAAACAGTTCCTTTTTTAAAAAGGATATTTCAAATTTTTTTAAAAATTAAAACCGGTAAAATCATCAGTGACAGCTTAAACTAGTAAACATTAAATGATCATATATTTCTTGAATTGAGTTTTAGGAATAAATGATAACGATGTGAGCTTATTTTTAAAAATTAATATTCGTATTGCACCTTTTATTAATTTAAAACCTAAAATTCATATATATTGTTTTATATTACAGCCCCATATACATATTTTACATCAAACTTTAACTTTTATAATTAGAATACATGAGAAAAGTGTACAATATTTACAAAGAATGAAACTTATTAAAAATAGTTCAACACTTTCCAAGCAACTGCAAATTCTCTTGCTCATAACTATGCTTAAAAAACAAGCAGAGTTTCTGGAATATACAATTTAAAACACAAAGTTTATTTGCTCTATTTACATATTTACAATATCTTGGTTTTGGTTTATTTTAGTTCGTTGCCCTATTAAACTATTTAGGATATGTTTTGTATTTTTACTGTCAAAACCATCTTTGAGCTACATTATCGAGACAAATGTAAGCTGGAGACTTAGTTTTAATCTGTTTTGAATGCTGATTTCTTTTATGTGTATTAATTACGGAATTTATCTTAAATGTGGGTGAATTGTGATTCCTGCTGGACATGCTTAACCTTCTGGAAGAAAGAAGAAAGTTAACACCATAAAGGTAGGACAGTAATAAAATTAATCGTACACTATTATTCGAGAATCTGATGGACTGTCAGCTGGCTGTGCCTTCTTCCCGAAGACATCCAAACAGCTTTAAAAACGCCTTTCTGAAGCTTGAGTTCATGAAACAGTAAGTGATCGGGTTACAGCAGCTCGATGTGTAGGCGAGCAATTGAAGATACGATATCCCTTTGGAGCCCAGTCTTTCATAAACGGCTGCCGGCGCGAACATTGCTATCTATAATTAAAAGCAAGATTATGCTAATCATAGCGTCATCTTATTTATTTTTCTGAAAAGAAAAATTGTACTAAAATTTAGGAAATTTTATGGTAATTTATGTTTTCTGTTTGAAAACTATCTGCATATATAACTATGATTTTTTGATAAGGTGTGTATTTTATGTGTAAAATAGTATTTACATATTGTGATGTGTTATAGCACAATTATGATCAAAAAGCAATATGCAACCACCCCAACCATGCCATACCTAAGGGAGACACCCTAAACCGGAGGATTGTGCCAATTTACTAAAATTTTGTTATCAAGAATAGGGGTATTTAACTTAACTCCTTCCTCAGCCCTTACCTGGTTAAAGGTGAGGCTAAAGAAAGTCGAGGGTTTTTGCTTCGTTAAAGCTTACATTCAAAATTTTTTATATTTTATTAATATTTTACTATATTTATAAAACTAAATTTATTCCTAGATGTACATGTAAGGGAGCTTTGAACCTTAAAATAAATAAACGTACTGTATTGATCGCGTAGAGAGGCGTCCAGCATATGAAAAATTCCAGGACTACTGCAAATAGCATTTTTATTACTCTTTTCTTCTTCTTTAGGGCTTTTTCCGTATTCGATCTTCTCAAGAGGTTGGGGCTGGTTTTGCCGTTTTTCCACGACATTTGCCTGTCTCTCGAATCTGTCGAACAGAAAAATAAAAATGTTTAACTGACATTAATTTCATCTGATGAATCCATTTTACCGGTTTGGTTTTCGTAGACCTGCCAGAGAGTCTTTGCCACTAGGAAGTAGGTCGTGACCATGACGATGAGTGGCAAGACGAGCAGCAAAAAGTCCAGCAGGAGGTTGTAGGCCTTTTCGACATCGTCGCTCGGCCAGATCTCCCTGCACTTTTTGTGACCTGTAAAACCAAAGGGTAAAAGTTTTCCCCCCAGCTTCAGCTTGAAATAGGATGGTACATTTAAATTGAAAATTTGATATAGACAGGAAAGTGATATTGCAAAAATAAAAAAAAGCTGTAATGACGAGAACAAATTTTATTTCCCCAGATTTCAATTAAAACATATTTCATGCCCATCAATGGAAAACCTTTTTTATACAATTAAACGAATTATTATATTTTGTAATCTCGAATAACATGAAGGACTTTTATATTTTAATTGTTAAACGGTTTAGGAATTTTTAAATGAATTTTTGTAGGGTACTTTCAGTTATTCTGGTTGTTCCAACTGGACTAATTGTTTTGAACATTCAATTTTATCATTAAATTAAATTATGTATCGATAAGGAAGAAAACACAGAAGTTAAAAAACAATAAAAAAAACAATGCTACAATTAAAAAAAGAAAAACAATGATACATTTATATAGAAAAATAATTATATTTGATAATCTTGATATGCCTATCCACGCTGGGCTCGTCTTTCCACATTTTGTAGTCTTCAGAGTGTGTGACCAATCCAACGAGACTAGGCAGACCAAGATCCAAAAAGGCCAACAGGAGGATGTATGCCTTGATAAGGATCAAATTATAGTATCATCACCTCGCACACCAAAGGAGGAGATCTTAACATTAATAGTTGTTACTAAATCCATTATGTTTATTGGTCTGATTGACCAAATTACTTCTTTCAATTAATTATTCTTTTTATGTAAGGTCTTGATTGAAATGAAAAGTTAGTGTCACAAGCGGGATTCGAACCCACTGAAAATATGGCAAAAAGGAGGGAAAATTTGAAAGTTTGTAGGTTGAGATGGGGAGTTGGTGTCCGAGTGGATCGATGTCACATTAGCTCAAGTGGTTAGAGCAGTGGGGTATTCAGCTGAAGGTCATGGGTTCGAATCCCGCTCGTGACACTAAGTTTTTCGTTTCAACCAAGACCTTACATAAAAAGAATAATTAATTAATAGTTACTGCACATATGTTTAGAAGTCATAATTGACCCAATTAATTATACTTTTTATATAAGGCCTTGGTTGAGATGAAAAGTATAATTAATTGAAATAATAGTTACCTATATTGCTAACAATAGTTAGAAGAGGCACTTTTCACGCAGTTTGTTCTGAAGCTAACCAATGAAAAAGGAAAATAGAAAAATGGACACTGGTTATTAAAGAAGACAAATCTGAATTTACTTTAGAAAGAGAGAAATCTCTCTATCTTCCTTCGCTTCTACAAATACAAAATCGTTTCTTTTGAATGTATATAATAGAGCAAGAGAAGAGAAGAGAAGAGAAGAGAAGAGAAGAGAAGAGAAGAGAAGAGAGAGAGAGAGAGAGAGAGAGAGAGAGAGAGAGAGAGAGAGANAAACAGATAGGTAGATACATAGATAGATAGAGATAGAGCGAGTGAGAGAGAAAAAGTGATAGGGTGGACAGAAGGTGGAAAAGCGAAAGAGGGTGGAAGAGATAGACAGAGAAAAATCTATTTGAATTTATAGAAAATGAGACAAAGAGAGAAAAAAAGTGACAGACGGAGGGAAACTAATAAACGAGTCATTTAATTAGTTTTGTGAAAATGAATTAATTAAAACACATTCATTCGAAAGTAACAAGAGTAAGAGAATGAAATATAAAAAATGATAAATCTATCTGAAATTATAGAAAATTGGACAAAGTGAGAGAAAAAGAGAGAAAGGTGGGGAGTGACAGAGTGGAAAGAAAAAATGAGTAATTTAATTAGTATTGTTAAATAAATTAATTGACACATTCCTTCGAAAGTAACAAGGGTAAGAGAATGAAATACAAAAAATGAGGGAGAAAGAGAGAGAAAGAATGAGGGAGTGAGAGAGAAAGATAGGGGGTGTGTATGAGAAGAGTGGTTGTGTATGAGAGAGAGCGTGTGAAAGAGGGAGAAAAAAAGCTGTTACTTAGTAGCCATTAGTATTATTGCTCGTGCTAACAGTGCACACAGTAATAGTTTGATTAAAGAAATATAGTGTATAGATTTATCAATTTAATTTAGGACTTTAAGGGTACATATAAATATATTTCTTTCCAATCAAAACGGAAAGAAGAAATGTATTACGTTATCTGGTGTAAATAACAATATAAATTACTATTTATTACATATTACTCGTAACAATTTTGTAAAATAGTCTGTTCCAATCTTTTGTTTACCGTTGTTCGTCGGAATTAGTTGGCTGAGGAAGAGTATTGGCGACATGACGACGAAACTGGACGCCCAAATGGCCCCAATGAGCCTGTAGGCGTGCTTCAGCGTCTGCCAAGTCCTAGACCTCAGCGGGTGACAAATGGCATAATATCGCTCTACTGAGAGGCAAACAAGTGTCCATCCGCTGACTGCGACGCTCGACGCTGAAAACAAGTTGCCAGTGATTAATCGTTTTCCTGATTCGTGTCCCGATTTACATTCTATTTAATTTATCAACGGGTGGCATCGAAAGCCGATGTAGTAAATAACGGTATTTTAATCTAGCGGTGGAGCGATGGGGGCCTCCTTTCTCACCTAAGGTCAAACAATCCCTGCATTGTTTCTCTTAGGAAATCAGACTGATTACTGATTATCAGACTTACCGGTTCGTATATAACCTGGGACTTTGTGAATATAGTATAGGCCAATTAATGAGAATATGAAGTGCATTTACTCATTAAGTTCCTAGGACATAATTAGAATGAAAAATCTAAGCAATGAAAGACAAAAGTAAAATGGCCTTACTTTATCTTATCTTAAAGAAAAGGACGTATAAAGAGATTGTCAAAATTATTTATTCTCTGGAAACTGGGAAAATAGAAAACGTTGCGGAGCAGGCACAGACGACAGTTCAGGATCTGGCGGGGCCAAAACGCAAAAAGCGGAAAAAATTCAGTAACAACAACCTATTTGAGGCTATCTTGTCTTTTTATTAAGTCGTTCTAGATTCAAGATCACGATGATTAAGATTAAAAACAAAATACGCAATGACATCCTTTAATATACAGTGTTTACAAAATGTTATACAAAAATGAACATGAGCACAATTAATATTAATTTTGGAATGGATGTTGCAACATCGGTACCTTGGGTGTAGACGAGCTTCTTAATACTCAACCAAACAGGATAAACGATTGTACTACACTGCAAATTGCAAAAGTCTCAGTGACTGATCTTTCTTAGGGATGGTCTTTTTTATTTTCCCTTTTACACACTTCCTGCGAAGAGCGCTTAGCGTCGGAGTTTCCACCAGACCTAAGGCAAGTTCCCCAAATTTTGTATGTTTAGCTATACGCTAAATTCAATGAAACTTTTCTCGAAACGATTGGACTACAGCAAACTGTCCAATATTATGGACACCTTGCAAAAAACAATCGGACCTATTGACTCAGATGGACTCACACTCACAATAATTCACAGACTGTTGAAACACGTAGTGTAAAGAAGATAAGAATAAATTCTGAAAACCTCTATCCTTATAGGAAATTTAACGCTCATTACGAATATAACTATGATAAAGGCATTAAGATGTTTTTTTGCAAGTAAGTAATCAAAAATCCCGTTTTGAAATAACAAAAATGAAGCTTGCGCGCTCTCAATTAATTTCTGACGAAAAATTGTAAAATTGCGTTTAAAATAAAAGCTATAAAGTTAATTGTGTTTACTATTTCTATTAGAGTAGAAAACTGGCATTTTAAAATGAAATTATTAAAATTTTGGGTTTTCGTTAAGATTGAATACTTTCAAAATTTCAAAACTATCAGTGAATGGCTTTCTGCAGCGAACGATACGATTTTGCACTCCTCTCTCTGTGTGAATAGAAAGCAATTACACTCGGTATACCGATCGATTAAAATGATTTGTTATTCCAAGAATGTTATATAACAAATAAAAATGTGTGGTATTTAGTGACCGTTAGCCAATGATTATTTGTAGATCGTGAGGTGCGGTCTGGTGTGAGGTAGGAAGGTAAGAAAAACATTTTTTTAATCGTGCCAACGTTTCGATCTTTATTGAGATCATCTTCATGGCCTGGGATTTATAAACATTGTTTAAATTTTACAAATACACGTAGGATGTGAAAAAACCTCATGATCTCTATAATAATAAATAAAAACTTGAACTGACAAAATATCTATAAATTAAGAACTAATAACTATAATTATGTTCCTACTACAGCAGTCAACAACTTTTTGCACTTCGTCCGCAATGAAACGAAAGTTTGTGATCCTTTATAGATATACTTTTTTATGAAAGAAAACATTTCATAATACGATATTTTTGATATCTGATTCGACTTCTATATAGAAAAAAACTTTGACAGTTAAGGCATAATTTTTCAACTAAACAGAAAGTGGACAAATTGATTGTATTTTCGAGATTTTAGACTAAAAATCTCTATTTAAAAAAAGGGCTGGTATCATCTAGTCAGGAATAGGCAGCTGAAAACCACAGAGATAGTGTATAGAAGAGAAGAAAAAAAAGCGCTAAAGCAAAGAACAAAGCTTTTTTTTTGGACGTCTACAAACTTAATATTCTTCAAAAATAACTCGTTTTCCCCCAACTAACCCACTTCCATCTCAACGTTGAATTTTTGTCTTCATCTCATACTTGGGTGTGAACATAAAAGGAAATTAGGGTGAACGAGTTTTTACAACGAACCGCTGGGTGGGGGTAATGTTAAAAAAAATAACCGTTTATCTTGCAAAGTTTATAATTTTGAAATTTCAATGATACATTTTTTACTTTAACTTATTTTTTTGCTCAAATACTGAAAGAAAAGTGAATTGGATTATCAAAATTTCTGTATTTAGTCTTTCCCTCACTGTGCGGCGGACGAGACAAATTTTAACAGGAAAAAATGAAGAATAATTACTTCCACAAAAATAGACCTCATTTATTATAAAAAAAACATTTCAAGAATAAAAAAATGTCATTTATTACATTAAATTACACGATTAATTAGCGCAAGGGTAGCGTTCTGCCGGTGAATTTTTTTTTTTGGGGGGGGGAGGGGGAATTGTTGAATGGCTCAAAGTCCGATCGAAGTAACCTCTGGTCCGGTCCGTCTATCTTCGCTATTTAAGACGCAAATATGTTATTGCCCTCGGATGTAGACAATTAAAAATATTTTAGTGCTTAAGTTAATTAATTAATTCCCAACCCCCTCCAAAAATGAGTTTCTTCGATGGAAGAACACCGGCACTCCGGGGGCTCAAATTCACACTTGTGTTGCGAGCCCCCAAAAATGGAGCCAGGGATAAAGTACAATAAGCTGTCCAGCTGCAGTGCTCAGGAGGGAACTCCTCCAGTTCCTGGAATCCATTGTAAAAAAAAAATTAATTAATAAAAAAACATAAAACTTGCGCAAGATCCTTTTTTATAAGAAGATATGCGGGCCATATTTAATTCAGATATGTACCAAAATATAAGAGATCTGGTAAAAATCTACTTTATTTTAAATCAATCATTATTGAAGAATTAAATTAAGTAGATTGTCAAAAATAAAAGCATAAAAAATGATTTCTTCCATGTATGGAAACAAATATTCAATTTTGATAAAAGTAAATGGAGTAAAGCGATTGGAAATAGGATGAACTGATTTGCCTGACCCATTTGAGTACCCATGTCGTTATTGGAAGTTAAACTTTTTTCTTAATTCATCAACATGTCACATATTAACAGTCGAATTGACTTGGCACGATTGGCACGACTCGTACTTCCTGGGTTTCAATTCGAATGGCATCCGAACTCCGCTCTGCTCAGGCAGTTATTTGTCGGCCTCGGAGGGATATATGGCGGGACGTTTTTCTCTGTCGGATAATCCCTCTTGAATAATATTCTGTCCGTTGTGCTATATCCCTTGAAAGGACCGGCTGGATGGACGGACGCTTGTCCCCGCTTATTAACGATCAATAATCGATCAAACAGAGACCGTGAACAACTCTGGAATCAGTCAGGCATCCTTTTTTTTTCCAAGTTACTATTGAATTAGACGATTTTGCCGTTATTCATTTTTTTTCAAATGCCGATAAATTGACAGTAAAAACTGTTATAACAAAAAATATGAAACATTGATAATTCATTAAAAATAAAAATTGTTCAACTTTTAAATTTACAATTTTGAAAAGTTTGTGTTAAAATCAGGAATAAGGCCTATTGAAAGAAAACTCTCAGTTCCTTCGTTGAGCTTTCGAATAATATGTCCACTTTATCAACTCTTGTAACAATAAAAAAACCATATATATATAAACAATTTGAGTATTAAATAGTCAAGTATTAATAATTCTAACTAGTTTCTTTTAAAATTTTTTGTAAATAGAGTTAGTTTTATTTATTATTTCAGTTATATTTTGTACTTACTATCGGTATTGCATTATTTCAAGTGATTGATGGTTATAAAAAATTTATAACCTGATATATCAAAATTTTTGAAGAACCAGTTTGATTAGACTCACATTTATAAAAAGATATTTTATGCATTTACACATGTCAATATTTTCAGCATAATGTTTCCAACATTTGTTCCACAACTACAAATCTATGTGATGAACTGGCATTGGGTTACAACAATCGTGGCCTACAATCGCTGTTTTATGATGGTACTCAAGCGCATTTTGGCTTTGCGCTATATTCAGTGAGGAACTGATTGTCTTATTGTAAGTGTACTTTCTTATATACCGTGGGTTCCGATGGTTCTCGCTAGAGAACGAGACCTACATTTCCTCACTGAAGACTGCGAGGGTAGGCCACATTGCAATTGAAAAGAAAAGACAATTTTTTTATCCCATTCTTAGCATCGGCCTTTATGATGGCGAAAAGGTTTTCTCCGAAAGTGACAATAAACTCACGTTTCCTCTATTTTTTCCAAGAAGCCGTTGAAGACGACGTTTCTGAATAGTGGACCTATGACGGATTCCTGAGAACACCCTTTTTCTTTATATTTTTTAACAAATAAAACGTAAATGTTGTACCAAAGAGGTTTTTATAGATAAAAAACGATGATATCAATATATTGTAAGATATGAACAGTGAAAATTAAAATTAATTTAAATTATCGGAGATTTTTTTTACAAAAAAGTTTTCTAAAAGTTATTGAACCAATTACAAAATTGTATAAACATTAGTTTTAGTTATGGTTTTATCATTTAGCCCCTTCATTTGGGTTGGCAACAGTACGGCACGACAGATATGTCATGAGGGTTTAGCATCCAGCTTTGAGTTGTGACCTGGCGTGTTAGGACGACCAGATTAATTTTTGTTCTTAGGTTGTTAATTTTGGTTGACGAGAATATTAGTTTTAACTAAACTAAAGTATAAAAAATGTTACCATTTAATCCTTTCAATATTGCATTTGGATCATTTTTCGAATTTTACAATTATTTAGGATCTATAAAATAAAGTACAAATGGTCACGTTTTTTATCAATTATTTTTGTTCAATACTTGTTTGAATTATTTCAGCTTCAAGATATTTTTC